CACGCTCTGGGACCCGCCGACCGGCCTCGGAGCTCCGGAGGCGGCCGCACACAGCAGCTGAGACCCGCTGAGAGATCCAGGAGGAGCGGAGCGCCGAGCAGCTGCACCCGGAGACGGAGCCTGGAGGCGGGGAGGAGGCGGCCGGCAGGCGGCGCTACAACCCGCAGATGGAGCCGCAAACAGAGGGGCAATAAGAGGCGCAAATAGGGCCGCAGTAACAGACGCAAACAGCAAACATAGTCACAGACAGACTCCGATTTTAAGTTACTGCGGTGTAGAAGTACTCTGCTACAAGGAAAAGTCCTGCATTTAAATATTTACTTAAAGTATTGGTGAGAAAATATGCGTAAGAAAGTACTCGGATTTGTACCAGTACTGCAGTATAAAATATTCTAATACAAGGAAAAGTCATGCAATTACATTTTTACTCAAGTATTAAAGTATTAGTCTCAACATATACCTAAGAAAGTACTCCGATTTTAGATAGAAGTACCAGTACTGCAGTGTAGAAGTACTCTGTTACAAGTAAAAATGATGCATTTAAATATTTACTTGAGTACAAAGAGTATTAGTATGAAAATATCCTTCAAGTATTCAAAGAAGTACTCAGATTGCAGGTAAAAGTACTAGTACTGCAGTGTAGAAGTACTCTGTTAGAAACAAAAGTCATGGAATTACTTTTTTACTCAAGTATTAAAGTATTAGTATGAAATATACTTAACAAAGTACTCAGATTTAAACTAAAAGTACCAGTACTGCAGTGTAGAAGTACTCTGTTCCGAGGAAAAGTCCTGCATTTAAATATTTACTTGAGTGCAAAAGTATTAGTGTGAAAATATGTTCAAAGTATTCAAAGAAGTACTCAGACTGTTGGTAGAAGTAACAGTACTGCAGTGTAGAAGTACTCCGTTACAAGAAGAAGTCATACATTGAAGTATTTACTGAAGAAAAGAATAGAATAGAATAGTTTTTATTGTCATCACACACAGAGGACACGAGATCAAAAGACAACTCCAGTGGTGTTTAAAATAAGACAAATAAGAATATAAAAGGAGGCAGCAGGAAGAATTAAGGTATACTTAAAAAAAAAAAAAAAGTATACTAAGAAAATATAAAGTATACCAAGAAAAAGTACTCTGATTCTATATAAAAATACAACAATAATTTTACTCAAGTATTGCAGTACCAGTATCAAAATATACTTGAAAACATATGCAGATTTAAAGTTACTGCAGTGTAGAAGTACTCTATTACAATGAAAAGTCATGCAGTTACATTTTTACTCAAGTATTAGCATAAAAATATACTTAAAGAAGTACTCAGATTTTAAATAAAAGTACCACTACTGCAGTGTAGAAGTACCATGTTGCAGGTTGAAGTTATGCATTTAAATGTTGACTTGAGTATTAAAGTATTATTATCTAAATATCCTCAAAGTATTTAAAAAGTATTCAGACTGTTGGCAAAACTACCAGTACTGCAGTGGAGAAGTACTGCATTACAAGTCATGCATTGAAGTATTTACTTTAGTATGAAAGTATTAGTATTAAAGTATACAAGAAAGTAAAGTATACTAAGAAAAGTGTACCAAGAAAAAGTACTACCATCAAAGAAGATTTTAAGTAAAAGTACTGCAGTGTAGAAGTACTCTGCTACAGGTCAAAGTCATGCAGTTATAATTTTCACTCCAGAGTATTATTAGAGTTTTAGACTATATAGTATTAAAATATTCTTAAGAAAGTACTCCGATTTTCAGATCCAGTTGTGTAAAAGTACTCCATGACAAGTAAAATTCATGCATTTAAAT